ATGTCGATTTTTTTTTTAATTTTTTTTTTTAGATCGAACAGTGTTCATTATCTACACCTTTTTCATCGATACACTTTTGACTCAGTAAGTACAAGTAGTTTCTTGCCACTTCAGTAGTTTATCAAAAAGGTTTCTAAGCCCCTGGGCCTCTTGTTTCTAAATCAGTATTAAAATTAGCTGCGAAACTTATCTCTAAAAAAAAAAAAAAAAAAAAAAAAAAAAAAAAAAAAGAAAAACCAGACCGGAGAGCTACAGTGCCACCCGTAAAAAAATTGAATACGTTGCGCTCGTTTCTGGATTAATTTTTCCAAATTCTTACCTCAACTGCACTAAAGTTAGATTTAAAAAAATCCCTTGATCTATGTCAACTTCTCTCGTAGTTCAAATTTGAGCGAAGAGCGTTGAACCGAATTACCTTGCTACTCAAAATGACAGTATAAATAGGCGAAATTTTGAAGGGTCTCAATTTCAAGCCAAGAATGGCCATTACAAAAGTTAATGGGAATGTTTTGTTGTTGAAATAGAAAAGGAATATATTAGGAACACGCGGTTAGCTATATTTTGAGAAGTTAGATGAAAAACGAGAGAAATAAATCGTGAAACAGCGCACTTTTTTCTGCACAATAAATATACACATTTTTCAATGGATGACACTGTAGCTCTCTGGTCGTCAACCCACTATTTTCAGACCAGCGACTACAGATCTGCAGCATGCAATATTAAAATCTCTTTCCTATTTTTCTATTTTGTTCAGTCAAACGACATTCTTTTTGCATAAGTAAAGGGTTATATATCTTTTTCTTTCTATCTTGCTCTTTTTTATATAAAACATAAGTCAATAGACCTTCAAAAGAATTTTGCCTCAGTTTAACTAAGCCAAAGGAGTAATTTTGATATCCCTAAATATTATTGCTTTGAGCTGGTAGAGGCTGAGTGGTCCTTTAACTATGACTAAATCTGGAGTTTTCCATCACATAGAGACACAAAGAGAATCAAATTTTAAAGGTATTTTAAAGCAAAGAAACAACCTATTTCAAGGGCCTGACTAAAGAAATATACACTAATCAGGAAGCCGTACCATAAGCCAATTTTAAAGATTTCAAGACTATTTGGAAAGAGTGTACATGTATAAACAATATTCAACCAAACCATATCTGAAATGATTAAAGTTTAAAATTATACAAAGACATATTTACAACTCCTATGGTCCTATATAGTAAAAATAGGATCATACTTGAAATGTTTATTAGATCGAAACGAATGAAATGCGGTTAAATTTATTGATATGTATACACAAGGTCGGCCCCTCATCTGCTCTTGAGAGACACATTTGTAAATACCATTTTAACACTCCTTAGTCATCTTACATTTTATTCATGAAATGTCTCAAAAGTGTAGGATTCTAATAAGTTAAAGATATATTATAAGATTGATACGTCTAACCCTCTGTGGCCACATGTTGTGGACGGCAAATGAGAGTAAAACAAAAGGCGCAGTTCTGATAAAAAAAAAGAATTAGATGAAATTGTATTTTATAAAGTTGATAAACAATAAAAAAAAAATAAATATTTAAATAATCTTATGAAAAAAAACTTTTCAGTCGGTACGATTTAAGTGGGTCGGTCGTGTTAGGGGAAACAAAGGTATTTTTTTGTTTTGGCCTGAGAATATTTGTTTTAAGATTAAATTAGATAAAATTCATTTTTTTAATCCTTGCAATGAAACTGGATTCTACGTGAATTTTCTTACCTTGGAAATGTAAGTTGAATGACTTTGTTACAAATAAAACCAGTTGTTTTGGAGGGATTGACTGGTATTTATAATTAAAACTGTTAGGTCATAGTTTTCGTACTGATTTATCTACGGATACCTCTGTTTACTGAATCAGGACAAAAGTGCTCCCGGCGGGTTTTACCGGACGTCAGGGAATGCTTACTTCCTCCTATATCTTTAGATCTTACCTCCGGCGTATTCTGGGATCTGTGTTTGCCTTTCTCTTAATTGATTGGATTTTAGCTCCCTCTTCTTTAACTTTTCATAACAGTATGTTTAAGAAGTCGATTTCAAGTCATTGAGTATTTTTCCGGTGTTTATACATGTAAACGGGATCATTTTAACAATGTTAGATTTCTCATGAGTCTAATTGTATCCCACTGTTACCGGTCCTGTTTTGTATTCTAATGAAACAGAGTTTATTATGGAACTTCTACTTGAAAACAAGTCTCTTGCTGTGGCCTTCAGTTTGACTTTTATATAGAGAGAAAATGAAAATCAATAACATTAAAAGGTATGACCTTTCTACACTTTATACAACGATTTCCCACGAGAAATTGATGTCCAGACTATTTGACAATACAGGCAGCTGTATTTCAATAAAAAGAGAATTCGTAAATTTACTTACCTTGTCATTGGTCATTTGCAAAATTATTTTAAAAAAACATTCTGATTGTAAACATAAGTACTCTGAAGTTGATATTAAAAAAAGATGCTTGAGTTTTAGATCGACAATAACTACGTAGCTTTTGGAGATCTAACAATTTGTCGAATTTTTATTTGGGTACAAATTGCGCCCCATTATTAGGTATTTTGTATATTCATATCAAGCAGAATATATTCAAAAACTTCATGAAAAGAAGAAGTATTTTGCTGTGGCATTCAATTCAACATTCAGATTTATCGACGGCATATTATAAATAAAAAATCATTCCTACATTGATTCCATATATTTCTTTCAACTCGAAATAAAAGATATTACGGAGTCTGAGACATCCGTTTAATATTTGGACATTTTACTAGAAAACATGCTAAAGGTAACCTAACAAGAAAGCTTGATGATAAACGTGATGACTTCAACTTTTCTATCATCAACTTCCCTCCTTAAGTATGTAGCAATATACAAATATCACCTGCAAATGTCTCCCATAGGATTTGGTACGCAAGAGCATGCTCTACATACGAGGCAAACTATAGTCGAATAAGTTGATAAAACATTAATATCAACAGTGATGTTTAAAGTCAATATTTCGCAAATTCTATGTTCGATACAATGACCTTGACAGCAAATATACAAGTGTAATATATCATTAAGTCGAATTTTGACTGATGATTTTCATTCAAATCGTTAGGCCATTATTTTCACACTGAATTGTCTACGGATTTTTTCCGTTCGCCGGATCATGACAAGAACCACACGGCGGGTGTGACCAGTCGACAGAGGTGCTTACTCCTCCATGGCACCTGGTCCCACCTATGATGTTTTAGAGGTCCGTCTTTGCTCTGCTCCAGATATGTATTGTTTCAATGGACTGTGCTTGATTAATGTTCGTTATCTCAATATCTCATAGAATTTTTTTTTTATCGGCAAATATTATTTGAATGATATTTAAACGTAGAAAACAATTTTAAAATCTCTTTTAGACTTTACAGACTGTGTAAAAATATTTAAATTTCAAAATCTTTCAAATTCCTTTGTTTTCATACATTCATCATAAAGTTGTTTTTTATTAATGAAAAAGGTGAAGATAACGAAAAGCGAAAAAATCTATGAATACAATTCTGTGAATAGGGCATAAAACACGAACCCCTGGAAATTCCAGAGGTGGGATCAAGTGCCTAGGAGGAATAAGCATCTCCTGTTGACCTGTCATACCCGCTGTGAGCCCTATGTATTGATCAGGTAGACGGAACATTACGTAGTCAAATTCAGTATAAAAACAAAAGCTTAACAATTGGTATGAAACAAGTCATCCAAAATCAAGACAATGATAGGTTATAGTTACTAATAAGGTAATTATAACGACCATAGAATTAGCAAAATGCCGACTTTAATTGAGTTTTTGACATCATTGTTACATCAAGTTATCTATCAGTAACATGCCTCGGTTTACAAATTGAACATACTCGGAGCATACTCTTCAGTATCGAATAAGTTGGGAAATATAAACACCATATGCAGGTGATAACGGGATATTACTTCATAAATAAGGAAAAGACAAGATAGGATAAAACCCCCTTTTGGTCCCTGGTTTGGGGTGTCTTTTAGAATGATGCAACTGTTTATCAATTAAAAACCTGTTGTCACCCTTGCCACAAAATGAGTATTGGTTCTAAGTTAAGGGATATACAGAGGTCAAAGGAAGGTCCGAAAATTTGTCAAATACCGAATTTTCTAATTTTTCATCGATTTTACCACACATTTTGATTCAGAAAACATAGAGCATGTCTATCTACCAAATTTATATATTTCATACACTTGTATCAGATGCATCTTGTGTATAAAAATCTTAGATAGGCAAGCTTGAGCTCTATGTTTCCCGAAGTGAAAAGTATTCCAAAATTTACGAAATTCGACAAGAATTGAGGAAATTTGAGAAAATGTCCTCCTTCTGCACCCTCTTGTGGTCTCCGTGTAAGCTTTGAATCAAAATTAGTGCTGGTCACGTGACTAATGGCCAGTGTGGTCACGGTTTAATTTCGAGGAGGGTTTAAGTCAATTTGCGCTGGAAAGACAAATCTGTGATTCCCTTAACTTTGCAGAGGTGTTTATTTCTGCTTAAAGCACAGTTCTGTGGTAATTTTGAAGTTTTTGTGTGTGATTTGGGAGTTAAACATATAAAGAAATAATGCCATTTCAAAACAGCAAGGATGAGAACAGTTCACGCAGTAATCCTACCCTCTCGACAGAAGTCAGTGGGGCGTCACTTCAGATGTCCGCTATCCACGATAGCCTTCGGACAATTACCGGTAAATTGGACAGTATAAACATTTTGCAACAATCTGTAAATAACATGAACAGAGATCTATGGGATGAAGATGGCCTAGACGATCGTATTAAATACATTGGCCAACAGCACGAGGATAATGTTGGAGAAATTGAAACTTTGAGATTGGAAAATAATTATTTGCGAAAAGAACTCGAGGTCTTAAAATCTATCGTAATTAATCTAGATAGAAGGGTCAGCCACCAGTAGAATGAAATAGTGGACCTTAGAGGTAGATCCATGAGGGACAATATCCTTGTGCATAATTTAGCTGAGGAAGAGCAGGAAGATCTAAGTACAAAAGTGAGTGAGCTGATCAAAGAGCATTTAAATTTGGATGTTAGCTTTATCAGGATTCACAGAAATGGTCAGAGATCAACAGGAAACTCTAGGCCTAGGTCACACATAATTATACATAATTATAGTGACAAAGATCTTATTCTCCAAGCAATGCGCCAAAAGAGGGAAGATGGCACCACTGACAACATGCCGTTTTATATCACACCGCAGACTCATCTGCAAATTAATGAAAATAAAAATAAACTGCAAGAGATAAATGCTAAGTATAGAGAGGAAAATGTGAAAACAAAAATGTGGGGAACAAGCTCGTATTCCCGTATGGATCTGTGTACCGGGATAAGGTTCTACCACCAAGAGCCGAGGACCTCCTGATGCTCGACAGAGAAGAAATTGAGAAACTAGAAGAAGTTGATGTTAATAAGACTGATACGGTTACAGAGGATGGGAATGTCTTTACATCGTTGGTTGCAGAAATTCAAACATATGCACAAGTTAGGAACTTGTACAAAAACGTCTTGCGCAATCAAGATTATGCTTGTGCTAATCATAACATTTTAGTGTATAGGTTCAAAGATGCACAGGGGCGAGTTCACGATGGTTACTGTGACAACGGGGAGTATGGAGCCGGGCGTCGAATGCTGAAGGTACTTGTTAGTGCGGAAGCATCAAATACTGCAATTATTATTTCGAGGAAAAATGCCAGGCATTTGGGACCCCGTCGCTTTGAAATTATGAGTGAACTTGTCAAAAAAAGCGGTTAGACACACTTACTAAATATTTTACATTGAAAAAAAAAACCCAGTAAATAGAAATCTTGTACAATACGTAAAAGTGAAATTTCTATTTTTCCTTCCTTATCTCTTTTTTTTCTTCTTTTAAGATTATTTTTTAAGACTATTGCATTTACTAACTTTCCGGGAAAACATACGTTAACCATACATACTCATGTTTTACTCGGCAATATTCGTTTCCGATAGTAATTGTTTTGGGAATTACCTTTGCTTTCTTGAGGTAAATACAGATTGACTTATTCCTTTTCTCCATTAGGAGATATGTTCAATCGGCTGGCTTTAGCTTTAGCCTTTTGTTTGTGTAAATATGCAACATTTTTTTTTCTTTTTTGTATTCATTTCTCTCCTTCTCTTTCTTTACTACGGGCACTATTTTGATTCTTTGTTGATGTTCCTGTATGGATACGGCTAAAGAAAACCATTTAAAAATACTCACAGTTAACCGCCAAGGTCTCGGAGATAAAAACAAAAGATAAGATGTTTTTAATACTCTAAGAAAAAAGAACTGTAATGTTTATTTTCTACAAGATACTCAGTGATGATGAAAAAATTATTCAAGCACAGTGGGGCTGTCAGGCTTTTTTTAGTTCCTTTAAGTCAAATTCACGTGGAGTAGCAATACTGTTTTATAATAACTGTGAAATAGATATTCACAGACATTTAAATGATGAAAATGGTAATTATTTAGTTATAGACTATGCTATTGAGGGTGTACAATTTATATTAGTTAATATCTATGGACCTAATTCAGATACACCAGTTTTCTATTCTAATCTGATGAATGAGATAAAAATTTATATACAAATCAGGAAATTATCATGGCAGGAGACTTTAATTTAGTTCTAGATAAAGAAATAGACTCCATGAACTATAAAAATTCAAATAATCCCAAAGCAAGATTGGAAGTTATAAATTTAATGGAAAAGTTAAATTTAAAAGATGTGTTTCGTGAAAACTATACACAAGTTGGACACTATTCTAAGAGGAGAAAGACACCTTTAAAACAGGCTAGACTTGATTTTTTTCTTATCTCTGAATCATTGGTCCCTTCTGCTACTTGTATTCAATATGAAAATAGTTACAGATCAGACCATTCCCCAGTTGTAATGTCCATAAAGATAAATAACTTTGTAAAAGGCAAAGGTTTTTGGAAGTTTTACAATTCCCTTTTAACAGATAAGGATTATATAAAACTGATAAAGGAAAAAATAAATGAGGTGAAAACTTAATATGCTTGCCCAGTATACAACATGGTCAATCTTAGTAGTATCGATAATGAATTCTTTTTTTACTGTCAATGACCAGTTATTTTTAGATATTTTACTTATGGAAATTAGAGGAAAGACTATTTCTTATTCAACATATAAAAAAAAAGATGATCGAAAGAGAATTAAATTTAGAAAAAAGAGATTCTATATTTAGAACAAAATCTGACGGAAATTTTACTTGCAACCCTTACAAAGAAGCAATCAGAACTTGAAGGTATACATAAGACTAGATTGAAGGGACAGGTTATTCGATCTCGAATGAAATGGATTGATGAAGGAGAAAAACATACCAAATATTTTAGTCAGTTAGAATCTAGAAACTATATAAGTAAACAGATACCAAGAATAGAAAAAGAAAATGGAACCATTGTTTCTGAACAGTATGACATTTTGAATGAAACTAAATTATTCTATGAAAATCTATATAAAAAAAGAGATATTTTAGACAATGAAAATTATAGTGAAAAACTATCAGAATATAATGATATCCCAAAGTTGTCCTTAGAGGAATCTCAAAGTATAGAGGGCCCTGTAACAAAAAAGGAGGTACTTAATTTTCTTAAACAAATGAAGAATGATAAAAGCCAAGGTCCAGATGGATTTACTTGTGAATTCTTTAAATTTTTTTTGATAGATATTGGCACATTTGTGACGCGTGCAATAAATGACTCGTACGTAAAACAAAGTTTCTCTGAATCCAACAATCTAGGTGTAATAACTTGTATTCCAAAAACTGGAAAACCACGACAATTTTTAAAAAACTGGCGTCCTATAAGTCTCTTGAATGTTGTATACAAATTAGCATCTGGATGTATTGCTGAAAGAATAACAATTTTCTTAGATAAGTTAATACATGGAGACCAAACTGGGTTTATCAAAGGCAGACTTATTGGAGAAAATATTAGATTAATATACGATATCATGCATCAAGCTGAATTAAGAAAAATACCTGGTCTTCTAATGTTTATCGACTTTGAAAAAACATTTGATACAATTTCATGGAATTTTATACACCAACCATTATGTTTTTTTAAATTTTGGTATATCAATTAGAAATTGGATAAAATCTTTCTATAGCAATATCAAATCATGTGTTATTCAAAATGGGATTGTGTCCAAATATTTCTGTCCTGGGAGAGGTTGTAGACAAGGGGATCCTATTTCCCCTCACTTGTTTTTACTCTGTGCAGAGATATTAGGTATTTTGATTAGAAAAAATAAAGACATAAAAGGTATAACCATTGATGGTGAAGAGTATAAGTTATCACAATATGCAGATGACACTTCTGTTATTTCTGATGGTTCTCCAAGCTCATTACATGGAATTACAAGAGTATTAGATTATTTTGCTGCAATTTCAGGATTAAAGATAAATTTTACAAAAACAAAACTGATTTGGATTGGAAGCAAGAAATTTTCAAAAGAAGTGTTTCATCACTCGAGATGGAAGTTTGATCCAAATAATACAACCTTCGATTTATTAGGGGTTCAGTTTTCTATTAATCTGGATGAAATGGTAGAAATGAATTATAAATTAAAAATAGAAGAGATTAAGAAAACCATGATACAATGGAAAGCTAGAAAGCTCACTTCTCTTGGAAGATTGACTGTAATAAAAACATTATTAATTCCTAAACTAAACCATCTAATCCTAACTTTACCAAATCCCAGTGAAGAAGTAATAAGTGCTTTTGAAAAAGACTTGTATAATTTCCTTTGGAATAAGAAGAATCATAAAATTAAGAAAAATGTTATAATTCAAGACTACAGATATGGTGGTCTAAAGATGATAGATTATAAAGATTTTGTTACATCATTGAAGGCAAGTTGGATAAGACGGGTAATACATTCAAGAGCCAAATGGGTCAGCTTACTTGAGGCAGAATTAAAAGCAAGTATAAATCATCTTTGGGTGTTGGGAATTGATTATATTAAGAATTTAGGCATTAACTTGAGAACTAAATTCTGGAAGGATGTATTTTTTTAGCTGGTCTAAAGTATTTCAGAATGAAGCTATGAATGGTTTAACACTCCAGCAAGAACATGTTTGGTACAATCCAAAGGTCACCATTGGTGGCCGGTCAATTTTTATTAAAAGTTATTTTAATTCTGATTTTGTTTTTATTAATGATTTTATTGATTCAAATGGTAATATTTATAGTTTTAATCATATTCAAAATAACTTTAATGTGAAAACAAATTATATTGAAGATGCAGGACTAAGAACTGCTACAAGAAAGAGACTAGCCTGTTTTAAAGATTACAAAACAATTTTAATTTCCAGACCACTTATTCCTGCTAGTTTGCTTATTTTTTTCAAGAGTAAAAAAGGGTGTAAAGATATGTATAATCCTCTCATTAAAAATAAAAAGGGTGAAATAACTTCAGTTATAAAATGGAGAAAAGAAGGAGAACAATTTTGTGAGGCATCATGGGAAAAAATATTTGAGCTACCATTAAAAACAACTCAAGAATCCAAATTTCAATGGTTACAATTTCAAATTTTACATAGAATAATTCCTACTAAAGGTTATCTTTACAAATTAAAATTAATTGATTCACCATTATGTTCCTTCTGTGATACTGATATTGAAACTATTGATCATCTTTTTGTTGATTGCTTCTGTGTTAAAGAACTTTGGTTGGAAATTGAAGAATGGATTTTGAATAAACTAAACCGGTTATTTTGTTTCAATAAGAAATCAATCTTGTTTGGTAAATTTACAATAAGAGAACAATACAAGTTTGAGAATCTCCTTATTATGACTATCAAACAGTATATTTTTTCAAGTAAGTTCAAAAATCCAATAAAATTAAGCATTGAGGAATTAAAACATGTAATTACTGACAGAATTAGAGTTGAAAAGTTTTTACTGTTAAAAAACTGTAAATTTGAGGAATTTACAAGACACTGACAGGAAATTGTTGAGAAATTGTAAAAACTCAAAAATCAATTTTTATTAATATTTTGAAGTTCAGTGCCCCTCCTTTCTTATCCCTCTTCCCTCCCCATCTTTCCCCCTCTTCTTTTCTATCTTTTCTTAATCCCCCAAAATAAAATTCTTTCACACATTTTTTTTCTTTATATAACTGTGAATGTTTGTATTTATAATTTGTGTGATTGAAGAATTAAAAAAAAAAAGAAAAAAAATCAGAGTAAAAACTACAAAAAAAAAAAAAAAAAAAAAAAAAAAAAAAAATTGTGCTGGTTTTAAAACAAGCATCATTTTAAGTTCTTAACTACAAACTATCACAATTTTAACTGTGTTCTAAGAAGATGGGCGTGTTTGGCGTGTGATCTGCAGGAATCATGTGACCGAAACATTTATAGTTTAAGTGTCCACGATTTGGTTAGCTAACCACAGCTGGACAGGCTTTACAAAGTTACGCACATAAGATGTTTTATTTAGTTTGAAATAACATGTCAAATTGTAATATTTAGGTCCGCGTATCTTAATAATCAAACTATAACATAGTAGAGCTTCACATAAATAATAAACACCTAGAAGATAATAAGGGTATAGTTAAATGCAATTACAAGTACATGTGTATATTAAAGTATTAGAATGTTGGAAGAATTACTTTCGCTCTCGATGCAACAGAACCAGAATTTATCCATTTTAATATAAATCAGTACAAAAAAGATTAAACTGATAAAAGAATTGATTGCTTGCATTAAAAAATTGCACTGGACGGGTAACG